TGTCTGCTTATTTCATTCTTTGAAAAGAGTAAACAATAATGATGTCATTATTTCTTTTCTCTTTCATTCCATATTCTTTCTTTTATTGAGATTGAAACTCGTTTTAAAGAGGATTTCTTTTCAACAATAATTAAACTCGCTTGATTAGGAAATAACGAATCTACGGACACTTCATATTCAAATGCAGAGGATTTTTCTCATTCTTAGAATAATTGCTCCGATGAGTTTCTTTTTTAATCAATGATTTCCTAATTATTAAAATATAATTGCTTCAAAGAATCCTTGTTAATTTTTCAACAGGTCTTATCACAAAAATTTGAAGCTGAGGAATGAAATTTACGAGTTTATCGACAACATCTGAGTTAATGAGGGAAAAATAAAAAACACATTTAGATGAAGTTTATATAAAGGGAAAAAATGAATATTTTTGAAGCATATTTCAATGAAAGCTGAAAGATTATTTTAAATATGCTAGAATTTTCGATGGAATCTTTTGAATTTTAAGTATTGTAATGTTGTTACTTCGTACTTTCATGAAATTACTTTTTGATTACCCTGTGAAGGAAAGCCTTTAGTTTTGTTGAATTTTAAAGAATTCTGTAGAAATTTGTATTACTAATATGTTGAAGAATACAAATTGCTGAATAAGGGGAAGTAATCTACGTATTAAAAATTAACTCGATAGAAAAACTTAAAATTCGAAGAAAGTTTTTAGAAACATTTTTAAAAATGCATTTTTACTTGTGTTTCATATAAAATCTCTAACTAAAATATAATAATGAACAGATTAATATCCCAGTTATTTAGTACTGATATTTTGATTCAATTTTTAGTATAACTAAACTATGTCCTAATAATAATATTTTAAGATTTATTTGATGATTCTCACAGCTATATATCAATTATTTATAAATCGCATTTTGAATGCTTATTCAATCCATTCAAATACATATATTTCTTATTAATTTCTGCTTTGTCAATGCACATCCTCCTATTAATTTTATTTTCAAGGTACAAAGACTTAAAAAATACATATAAGAAAAATAGCTTCGAACCGAGTTTACTTCAAGCGTATGAAACGTAAGTTTTTAAACTGAAGCTACAAATTATTTCTTTTTCTAAAATGAATTGTAGAAAATTTTAATTAAACCAAAACCTTAGAAAAAAAACATCCCTAATGATAAAACTGCAATAATAATAATAATAATAAAAAATAATAAAAAACTTCTCTTTAAAGTTACCAAGATAAGATTCTTTTTCTCGCTCCGGTATATATCACAAATCGTAACGGTATTTTGATGAAGTCACGCAATAAAAACACACAACTCACAAGAATAGGAATCTTCCATCTATTGAAATAAAATTTTAAACGTATTTCCGTTCTTTTGTAAATTACTGACTTGTAAAACCAAATTCGGGCGCCTTTGAGACATCAAGGGCGTTTCCATGATTTTCCTTTGTCAAGAAATGCAAAGTATTTAAGAATTTGCGCGCATGTTCTGATAGAAATTGGTATATATACTTGGAGCAAAGCAAGCAATATCACATATACACAGTTCACTCCATTTCAGCTTTTTCGGTTCCCTCAGCCGCACTTACTTTCCACCATGGCTTCTTTCCAATTTTGCTGGACACTTTTGGTTTCTTTGCTGGGGTTTTTCGTATTCAGTGCCATGGCTCAGGGTGAGTATTCCAGTTTTTAATATCTTTCGTCAGAGGATCACGAATATATAATATATACAAAAGTTAATTTCGTCCTTCGACATAAATCGTTTTTTTAGAAATGAAATATTTTTATGCTGCACATATGTCTATAATCAAAGATTATTTCTGATAAAAAAAGATGCGGCGCGATGGATCCCGCAAATATCTTTCTTATTTATGATTTACTTTTCTCCAGAGAAGATACATATGGCTATTTTCAAATATAAAAATTTGCTTTGGAAATGGATACATTTATCCAGTTAACCATGAAGGCATATATTTGTAGTTTAATTTTTAAATTCATAAAATTATAAGATTAAATCTGCTTCGAGATAATTTTTTGTATTTCATACCTTTGTTTCTTTCGAACTGATTTTTCTTCTTTTTTAAAAAAATTGAAATTCACACATTTGTAATCTTGATATGAAATCTTGGTTGAGATAAGTTTGTTATTCATCATAAGTATTCGTTTCTTATCAGAAGAAAAAGCTTTTAAGTATTTGATGATAATATAATGAGTGGTTGGTGTACTAATTTTAAGGAATGGCGCATTTTCTCGAAATATAAATGAAAAATGTGCCTGGATTTGATAAAATGCTTTGTATAATATATTTAAATTTCTAATATTTTATCAAAAAGGATTAAAATTCTTTCTAACTCTCTTTCTTAATAATAATATAAGATCCTTTATAATCCTTAATATGAGTTATGACTTGAAATTTCAATAAGATCAACATTAAAAATAAGTATAGTAGCTACATCTTTTTTATTTGTTCCACAATATTGCTTCTTGTCAGTTCTTCTCGGTAAATTTTGAAGTTTATGGACATCAGCGGAAATAATCTATTTATTGGATTTTTATTAAAGTTTGCTAAACTATTCAGAGCTACGCTTTTATTATTTTGAAAGGTTTCCATCTATACTGTGTGTGTATGTGTTGTGTGTGTTACTAAGCTTTTTTCAGTATTTATAAAAAAAAAACCCAACGTAATTAAACTTCTAATTTATGTCTCACTATGCTTCACAAAATCTTTTTTTTATCGGTTCTCGTTACATCATTTTCTACGACATATTGCACTTTTTTTTCTTGCTTCATAAGAGGTGCGATATATTAAAGAGTTATTTTATGTATCAATTTCGTTCGATTATTATAAGCCTGTGTCACACCAGATGTTTAAGTTTAGTTTTTTTATTTATTCTAAAAATATATCATCCGCGAAAAGAGCATTTAAATGAAATTTCTTCTGATTAAAAGAGCGTGTCATCGCGACAGAATTTCAAACTCCAGAATAACTAAAATATCTTTATATTCTTCAGACATGCCCTTTTATTGGTATATTTTTCTTTTCATGTGCTATCATTGAGGATTGAACTAATTTCGTAGTGATATTCTGTCCAATATTTTAAAATTAAGAACAACTTTAAAAATATTATCAAACAGAAAAAGTGAAAATTTTGTCGAAAACGCCATATTAATTTGACTACAGAGCTATCAAGTTCTTTCGTCTAGTTTATATTAAATATTTTTTTATCAAATTCAATCAACAAAAACGTTTAAGCAATCTACTAGTTAATTAAATCAGTAGTGAAGTAACTTAATTTTTAAAGTGTCATTAAAAGACTTAAAATCTTAAAATAAAACTCTTAAAAGCGATTGTCACAGATTATACAATCATCATTGTAATAATATATGTAAAAACTTTTTCCCTTTCATATTGGATAGAAAAATTCTTGATATTCGTTAGAATTAATTTTAAATCAATCTATCTCCTTATTTTCTTATATATATATTATATTTTATTGACTACTTTTCAGTGAATTTTCGTGTTGTTTTGAAACAGTTATATATATATATATATATTATCCCCCTGTAAGAAATTCCATAAGAGCTAGTATACACTAATGCTTACGAGTTCACCTTATCTTACTTTAAAGTGCAAAGCATATGCTTTTTTGAGGCTATGCTGCACTCTACCAATTTCAAAATTACCGATTATTATTATCATTATTATTTGCATTTGTTTGCCTTTTTATTGAGAAGCTTGCCACTAAATTTCAGATCTGATAACCAATTAGTTTTTTTTAAAGATATTTTTTTAAAGATATTGAGCTTAGGTTATGGTTTCGGGTACATTTTAAAGCAATTTTCCATTCATAAATTTAATTAATTAAAAATATTTTTAAGTACAATCAACTCTTTCAGTGTGAAATGGTTATTAATTTCAATTTTTATTACTAAAATCATTTCTTCTTGATTATGTTTTGAGCCTTTTGAGTTTTCATAGTTAGTTAATTAAGATTGATTTCAAGGCCAATTTTTGTTATAAAAATAATTTCCATAACTTAGAAGCTTTATCATTAATTTTTTTCCTGTTGAGGAAATGTCATGGCCGAAACGTTTTCAGATTGCTATGAGAAACAAAGTTTCGAAAAGATGGAATAATACTGAAAATGATGTATCTAAAAATCAGCTCTCAACTGATACTGCAATTAGACTTCTGAATACAAGTATTCTGAATTCAAGTATTGCAAATAAAACTGAATATTTCCATGATGTACCAAACTACATTATAGTAAACATATTGTAGTGCTATATTTTAGTATTTTAAAGTTGCGCCACAAAAACTCAAACAAAAACGCTAAACTACCACAATTTAAAAAGAAAAAAATTAAATTTTATATGTAAACCTGGTAATCTTTAGCTTAAGTTAGTATCCTTATTGTTTTGTACATAAATGCTTTGTGAAAATATTGTATTAAAATTAGGCTGAGAATAACTTGTCGTGACAAATGCTATCAATATTATGCAACAATATATTTTAAATTAAATACAATATTTTCGGTAATATTTAATTAAATTAGAGTTTTAATACAGAACTTAAGTTGAAAAATAACATATTAAAAATCAGAGCTTCACAGGCATTATTAGATTTATCCTTATGACTTTATAAACTTTAAATGTGTTTTTCTCAGACTTAATTTTGAAGGTATAAGTGTTTTCTAATCCCTATAAGGCTTTTTTTTTCAATTCCTACAATAGGTCATTCTCTCTCTCTATATATGTATGTATTTATTTATTTATATATCTTGTTCAAATTTTCAATAGTTAATAAAACACTTTCTATTCATCCATTCAAGTTCAAATACATTTTTTTAAACTTGTAGTTGATGACACTTGATGTTAATACAGTTTTTCAATTATTAATTCATTAATTAAATCAAAAAATGAATAAATAGCAACAAACAAAAATAATAGTCCAACAGCCTATAGAGGAAGGAAACCTATTCGCTGTGTACCTGTAGCGCAATGGATAGCGCGTTGAACTTCTAATTCAAAGGTCGTAGTTCCGAAACCCTACTGGAACGGCCTAATTTCTGAGAATGTGCTTCTTTTTTTTTACTATATTATTTTATTAGAATAATTAAATTTAATTTTTGAAAAAATAGTACCAAAAAAAATAGTTCAACACCATATATGGAAAGGAAAATGGAAAATCGCTTTCTATTTTGTCACTTAATATTGTGATTCTGTCATGTGTATATACATATTTATATTAATTGTAACTATTTAACAAAAAGTAACTAAAATAAAATTTTCTTTGTTGACCTAAGTAGGAATAGACTTAATTTTTTTTATATTACTTGTTTCTGCTCAAGACAGAGTCTTGAAACTTTTTGTATATACTCCCAAAAGAGTATGTTCTTTAAAAGTTAGAATGGATTTAGGTCTGAGATCTCTAGATGTTTTTTTAAAAAATTCTGAATTTAATATTTTAAAAAAAATTGTGTTTTTTCGAGGTCTAGATAGATAAATAATTATTAAAAACCAACGTGTTTTATAAATATTTGAAAAAACATCAAAATTTTTTGATTTTTTAAAATTGTAAAGTAATGGCCAGTCAAAAAATGACTTTTTACTTACAGAATCAACTTAATAAAATAATCTGAATACAAGGCATAAATTATTTTTACTGCTACTGACTCCAATTTTTTTTTTTTTTTTAAAAAAAAGGGTACTGTGTAGTCTTAAAATAATTAAAGACGAAACAAAATATTTTCAGATAAAGGTAATGGCAATTAAAATAACATAAATATTGCTTAAAACCTTTATCAAAATAATCAGTTTAATTTTTTTTTTACTTGATACTAATTTCAAGGGGAAAAGACTGCATTTTTATAAAGCAAATGTAAATAACTCAGTCGGTTTCCCTTTGCTAAAACAATATTTATGCATCTAATAAATAAGAGCTTTAGTTCAGCTAGGTATTGCAGTTGTAATCATATTTTAAGAATATTATATTTTATTTCAGATCGAATTCCTTATGGGCCAAATGGTGCCAAAATTCTCGTTCCAGTTGGACGTCAATTAAATTCGATATACCAATCTTCGGCTGAGAAAACTGGAGTACCTTCAAAAATCTTTAGCATCCAGGACGAGAACGAAATCCTCAGACCTTATGAATTTGGTTTCCAAATGAACGACGGTAACGGAACCACTCAACATCGCCAAGAAATTCGTCAAGAAAATGGAGACATCAAGGGTAGCTACGGTTACATCGACCCGTTCGGTGTCTACAGGAAAGTTGAATACTACACCGATGCAACTGGTTATCATGCCAAAGTTACTTCCAACGAGCCAGGACTTTCCAACAAAAACAGTGCCAACACAATTTACGTTGTCGAAAATCCACCTCCAGCAGCTATTATCTCCGAACAGCGCCCTGTCATTTTGGTCCCACGAAGATCAATTGCTTGATTGAATTAAGTGTTCCAGATCAAGTATGGAAGACAAAATAAAGTGCTTAAAGACTTTTTTGTGCATTATTTTTACTATTTTATTTCATCTCATTTATTAACAATTGGGGGTAATGTTTGTAGATATGCATGAAAGGTAGAAGAATACATGGTTAATATTACAGATTTCGCTTTCAAACCGTTTGGAAAAATCATGTTTTGTCCCAAAATTTTATAAAGCAATTTTTTTCAGAAATGAAATAAAAATACAGGATTTGTAGTAATATAGCATCAAATAATATTTCTTTCATTAATTAAAATTCCTATGATAGATTGCTTTAATTTTTTTATTTTTCTCTTTTTGCTCTATTTACCAGAGATATATTCCTAAAACAGTGAGTGAGTGAATATTAACATCGCACTGTCCTTCCTAAAACAGAAGAACAAGGTAAAACATTTTATGAGCACCTCTCACACATTATTACTATTATTAAACAATTTACTCTTCTATACTAATAATGATTTGATTGATATAAGTTACATTTATCAATACCCTGATTTGTAATATTTAAAATTGGAGTAATATATCTCAAAAGTTTTACCCATTTAAAGACAAGTTTCTTTTTTAATTAAAATTAAAAGTTTTAACCATTTAATTTGAGATCTATTGTTTAAAAAATGCATTTCATATTTTATCTCGAATATAGAATAAATGGCATTACAATACTGATTATAATCAAATTAAAGGAACAAGAAACTAGAAATAAAAATTTTTTTTAAAAAAATACTATTTCATCGACATTTTTCAACCACTTTCAGAGAGAAAATTTATCTTTTTAGCTAATTTTCTTTTTCAAATAAACCTGAAATTCAACAAAAAGAAATAATATTTTATCTGAAAGCCTGAATTCAAATTGGATTTAGTTTCATACGTAGGATATAATGTTCTTTTGTCACTTTAAGAAGAAGAAAGGGAACAACATTACAATTCCAATTCAAGTTATGCTCAATTTTGTTTCCTTTATAGTAATAGAACTCATATGATTTTGTAATTTTAAATTTTAGATTAAGGTTACATTGAGATAAAAGAAAGATGAAATATTTTTTTTATCTGCATTGGATGGATTTCGAAATTAAAAATATGAAAGCTTTCTTTAAGCTCGAAATGTTAAGATATCTCTGCATTAATTTTGAACTGAATGAAAACATGCTAATTAAAACATCAGATTCTTTTATTGCGCTTATTAAATATCTTAAAAATATGGTATTTATCTTGAAATTAAATATGCTTCTTCCTGATAAAAGATTTTAGGAGCAAAAAAATGTAGCTGAAAGATGTGTAATAAATGATTAACTGGGTACTATTTGTAACATCATGGAATAGTATACGTCAATAAGTTTCTAAAAATATTTAATATATCATTAAACTGTAAAAGGAAATAAATAAAAGCTTAATATAATCATAACAAAAGAGGAGTGTACCATAAACAACAACTAATAAAAGGAATAAAATAATGTTAAGGTCTTCACTAAAAACAATTAGAATAGAAGGTATAACATCAAAAATTAAAACAAATATTATTTACCCATAGTACTGAAAAGTAGATTCAGTATAAAATTAAAACAACAATTGATGGCCGAACAGAAAGTATTTTGTAGCAAGAACTATATTTCTTTTAAGGAAATTAAGCAATGAATTAAAAATGTTAGCTGTTGAAGTAATAGCTTTTGTAGTTCGATAACACATAATTATATCTGCAGTATGAAAACTATTTATATATATGCATTGATAATTATTTTTATAAGAGTGTAATTGGTACAAAGCTGATAGCGCATGAGCGGTTGATAAAGCTGATAAAGTGGAGAGGCTGATAACGCTTCAACTATCACTAACTTAAATTTTAAGCAATCCATTTTGATTTTTAGAGGAATTTTATTAGATATTACATCTTGTTTGCTCATAAACCAAGAATTTGAAACTGTTAAATCAATGTAATGAATGTGTTCAAGAGACTTTTATGGTAAAGAATGATCCAAAATTTGTCTTTCCATTTCAAATATTCCCATGTTTTTCTTCATCGCTCTCATTTGAACTTGATTTTCCTTCCAGTATACGCGATTCGTATGTTTTGTTCGCAGTATTGTTATCATCCGAGAGATCACTAAGTTCTATAATCTAAGTTCAATCTGGTTTATTCATCAATTGCAAAATTTCTTCTGTGAGAATTCTACTCCTTTTTAGACTCCTGAAAAAGTTTTTAG